GGGAGGGAGGGGAGACTTTGTCCACAGGATACCCTTTTTTCCTAACAGAGTGGGAACTGGGTGGTGAAAGGCTAGTGGCCAGAGTGCCCGGCTGCTGGACCCACGCTCGCTCTGCCGTGCCCCTGTGGGTGGTGGTTCCTCCCCACACCTCCAGCCCCACAGAGCCTGCCAGCCCCTGGCCTTCTGGAGCTTCTCTTTCTCCTCAGCCTTCATGGCCGCTGAGCATCTGGCCCGCCACATGTCGGATACCCCAGTGGTGGAGGAGAGGGGGGCCTTGTGGGGAGGGAGGCCTCACGGCCCCCAGCCCAGCTGCTGCCCACCATTCCCCTACCACCACCACCCCCCCCGATGGTTCCCTTAAGCTGTTGCCGTCTGGCCTGTGTTTGGAAGAAAGTCTGTCTATCTGGGTGGGGGGATTAAATGCTATAAGGTTAATCTTGGGGGGGGGGGGTTAAAACCTATAAGGTTAGAGCTGACGGCCGGAGACAATCCTGGTGCCCTCTGCCCCCCTCCCACTGTCACCACCAAAGCCTCCTGGTTGTTGGGTGGCCAACTGGCAAAACCAGGGGCCTTGCAAAGCCTGCCCCGCAGCTGTTGTGGGTGGGGGGGAGGTCCCAGATGTGAGCTTGTGTTTGAGAGCAAGAGGGTGCCAACGAGGGCGGGGTCCCTGTCCTTGGAGAAAAACGCGCCCCCCCCCTTTGAAAGTGGTTTCTCTCGTGGGTCCTTGACTGCTTTCCTCTGCCAGGGAATATCGACGCCCTTTGCTTGCCTGTGGGGTCGGGCGTTTGCCTAAGAGCAGTGGTTGCCTTTCTCCGAGGCTGGGGAGGGAGGCTGGCTGGCGGGAGGAGGAGTGCCCTGCGTGCGTCTCTGCCCCACAGAGGCCTCGTTCGCATGGAGCGCTTTTGCCCGAGTGGGGCTTCCGGGAGGGAAAGGGCAAATGTTGGAACCCCGTTGGATTTCCCCCCCACTCCCCCATGCGCCTTTGCTCTTGTCATTTTGGAACAGTTACAACAACCCAGGAAGGCAGGCCAGACTGCACCCCTGTAGCCGCCGTGGGGCCTCTGGAGGCAGTGGTCGGTTGTTCGTGGGAGGCTTTTGAAGTCCCGGTTGAGTGGCCGTCTGTCGGGGCGCCATCCGCTCTCAGCTCCCCGCCTCGACCACGGAGGGTTGGTCTGGATGACCCTTTGGGGTCCCTTCCACCACCACCACCACCCCGTACAGCGCTTTTTTCTGCCAAGAGTATCGAGCAAGGGAGTAACCTCTGAAGCCCCTCCCTTTCTCTTGATAACGAGGGCATAACGAAGCTGCATTTCAAGAACGAAGGTGAAAGCCAGGAGTGAAGTGATTTTATGGCGTTTTCCTTGCAGCTTTGTACCGTTGCCTTTCAAGAGACGTTTTGTCAGCAATTTTCCAAGGTTTCAGCCGTTTTGTTGCCAATCCTGTGGTATTTTTTCCTCCACAAAAAAAGTAACAAGCAAGGAAAGAAAGTTGTTTGCAAAGAGGTGTTTTTTTGAAACATTGCTGTGTCAACAAATGACATTTCAGGCATTGTTGTAACTGATAAGGAATGCATGGCTTGTAAGAAGTAACTTTTTGAACAAGAGCCTAGAGGACTGACACAGGGACACACACACAGGGACACACACACACACACACACACAAACATCCCACCCCCCACCCCGTACTGGTGCGACACACACACACACAAACACACACATCCCACCCACCCCCCTCTGTACTGGTGCACAGAGGGTGCTTATCTACGTTGCTCTTCTTGAGGAAGGGGTGGACGCAGGTTTCCCACCTAAAGGAGGCTGAAGGCTCGGCTCCTCCCTTTGAAACCCAACGATCCCGTCTCTGCTCGGGAACGTCGGCAGGTAAACCCACCCGGCCTGGCTGCCCGGCCTCTTTCCGGCCGCCCCCTCTCCTTGGGCGGCTTGGTTTCCCCACAGCCTCTCTGGATCAGGGCCCAGGCAGGACTTACCCAAGAGACTTCCTAGGAGGAAGGCAGGTGGTGGGGGGCGTTGGCATGAGCAGGAGGGCCCCAAACGGGCAGGGAGGGGGCTTGGCAGGCAGCAAAACCAGGCCGGCCCCCCTCCCGGGCGTTTCCTTCCTTCCTCCAGCAGGCAGCTGCCCAAAGGACCTTTAATAAATCTATCATTAGACAATGATTCTAATCTGTTTTTAAGTTCCTGTTTTGTCGTGCAACACTTCGGCATCCCTGGTGGAGCAGAGAAGGCAAGAGATAAATATTTCAGATAAAGCAGTGCAGTAAATAAATAATAATACATCTGGCCACGTGGCCCCTCCCTCTCTCCAGGATTGCTGGGGGGGGGAGAGGTTGGCACGAGGCTGCTTCTCACCCCCACCCCCACCACCAAAAAGAGGGAAGT